CATTACATGTTGAGAAGAACCTTGGGAAACTGGAGATGATCTAGAGAAGAATGACTAAGATGGTGGGAAGTTAGAAATTAACTCTTATTTATTAACATTACCCAAGGGATAGGTATCTTTAAATTTAGAAAAGAGAAGATCTTCAAATTGATAGGAGAAGCTAGAGTAGAGTGTTCTTAATTGTTCCTAAGGTAGAACTCAGATCAATGGATGGAAATTAAAGAGAAAGAGATTGGGGGCTTACAAAAAAAACCCACAAAAACTTGTAAGAGCTGCTAATCAATGGAACATCATTTGATGGTTGTCCCAAAAATATTTGTTTTAAGAGACAACTGGATTTTCTTGTTTTTCTTTGAAGATGTTTTGCTTCTCATCCAAGAAGCTTCTTCAGCTCTGACTGGATGATTGAGAATGGAAGGATTTATATTCCTTGCAGACAGCTGGTCATTTGCATCCTTTTAGAAAGCCGTTGAGGCCACTTGGGGGTTGGTCTGTGTCCTCAGGGTCACCTGAGTAGTGCAAATGGGTGTGGAGCCTTCTTGGAACTGCTGAAAGGACTGTGTTGTGGAGCTGTGCTTTCTGCAGGATTTTTCTGCCCTATGTCCATTCTGCAGAAAAAATCAGCAGAGAATCTCCATAGATGTATGATGGGAAGTGGTGGGCTCTTCTACCTTAAAGTCATTTAAGGACCACCCAAGCAGTCATGCTTCAGAGATGCTATGCTTGTATTCTGCTTTGCAGATCCTACATTGAGCAACAGATTGACTTGAAGAGTTCAAGATAGCCGCTATTGAACAACATGTTTAACTTGGCTACTACTTAACCCATTTTCTGAATTTGCATAATACCTTGACTCCTAAAACAGCCACATAACCTGCTAAGCCTCACACACGGACAAAAATGAACCAGTTAAAATTAACCAAGCTTAGCATGTTTTAGGAATGCAACTATTAAGTTACTAATTACTGTAGAGCAATTGGTAATGGAGCTGGAAAAAGCACCTTTGGGCAACCATGACTTGGATGACTGGGAATCTCCATAGACTTTCACCTTTTAAATTTTCTCATCCTTACAAAACATAAATCCTGCTTTTGGTTTTTAAAGTATAATTCAGAAGGCAAGTGACTCTAGTCTTGCATTCTTCTGTCATTTTTGCAGCCCTGAAGTCTAAATCCCTTTGTTTTCCCACAGATGTGCTCTCCACTTCCCAGATGCAAACTATCTACAAGGCAAGCGGATGTGCTTCCCAAGAGATCAGTACACAAGAATGTGATGAGAAGAACCCTTACCGGACCATTACAGGCGAATGCAATAACCTGTATGATTCTCGAATAGAAACGGACAATCTTTTGGTGGCCAAGACCCTAGTCTAGTTGTTTTTAAGTGCTAAGGGCTGCTAAGTGAAGAGGGTGATATCTTACATTTTGG